GGACGTAATTCTAGTGCCGTGCTACTTGATGGTGATGCACCATGTAGCAGCCGCTGCGTCAATGACCCCGAACCGCCAACCTCAAGTTCCTTCAGCACGCAATGGGCACGAGCGCCGCATCAGCTTTTGTATTGGACTCGATTCGTGGCGGACTCTCCTCTTCAAGATCGGCTTCAATCGTCTACGCTAGGACCTGGAACCGGCGTCAACCACCAGTGTTCTTTGACGGTGTTTCGTAGAACATTATTGCTTGGATGCTCTGTACGCTAAAAGCCTGTTGCGAAGAAGCTTTCAATAAAAGCCGGAGGGACAACGCCTGCATTCGGAGCCGGTATACGTGCTGCGTTTTTTTTATCATCATCATAGTAACGTTGGCCCTTGGCCGCAGATTCTTGCCGCAAACCCGTAACGTCGCGATCACGTGTCTGCGTCTTTTTTTTTATCGTGGATTGCTACAGTTCACGAAACTAGAATAGCAGTGCCAGAGTATCCTGCCAGTGTTTGCTGCCACGTCAATGTCTTATTTGTCAAGAAAGCGTCACGCGGTAAAAAGATGGCAAAAATACTCCAGTACGAGAAAACGAGCTCGCGGGGTGCCAAGTTCTGAGCGGAGAATAGATTGATCTTATGATGTGTTCGGCGCATGCGTGACGCCGCCATAACTTTGGTTCAGAGGGGGCAGACAGCTGTTCTGGAGACGCCTCGTGCCGTGTCATTCTCTGAGCGCCCATTGCTTCAGCGAGGTTTTCCCACGTGGAAAAAGTCTTCGGTTCTCTCGATGCCTTGCGGCAGCGGCAGCGCAAAAAAAAAAAAAAAAAAAAAAAAAAACTGGCTGGTGATGTGGGTCTATTATTTTCTGTTAGTTTTTAGAAAACGTAGAACTTACGCTGAAGCCTAATTTGAAGCTTCTTATGTTCTTTGCCGTTGCGCGTGTACACACACACGCAACGGGAATCGAACCCCGGACCGGACGACCCACCGCACAACGCTTTGTCTCGGCGCCACCAGCAGGATGCGAATGGGATTTCAAACAGCGGGACGAAGTATGGCTCGTGGGAGCCTGGAGTAGCAGGCGACCATCGGCACACCTCAGTTGCCTCCCGAATGACAAAGCGTAGCTCCCCATGTGATCTCGCGACGTTACAGGGCGGACCATAATACACCAGTACACCAAAAGATAGCGCGGCGGGGGCTACGACATCACGACTTCACAGCGGGAGCGATAAACCTTCTCCCTTCGCAAAAAGCAACACGCGTCATGCCTGACGTCCCCGCCCGCAGCCTGAGACACCTCCCGCGTCGGGCGAAGCGTCGTGCATTACGACGTCACCGCCCATATAAGGCTGAGTGTGACGTCACGTCCCATATAAGGCAAAACGACCGCAGCACCTTCGAATCGCACACTCCCCCATAACAGCCGCAGCCGCCGCGGCATGTCCACGCCAGCGACAAGTGCTAGGCTAACCTACGTAATGTTAAAGAACTACGAAGTAAAATGGACAGCCCTGTAATCCTTACACACTTTTAAATTTAAACCTGGCTCGGTTCTTCTAGCGAACCCGGAGAGCATATGAATGCGTCGCGGGTGCGACACATGCAAAACCAAGCGAAGCTCCTGTATGGAAGCATATCGTGATGCAAGCATGATGCACGCACGACCCATTCGGGCCTCCCCGGGTTTACAAGACTGTCACCTTTAGAATATTTTTGTCTATGAGTTTTTGTGGCACGTGACGCAGCCGGCCGGTTTAGTGCCGTGCCTCGCGAAAAGGGTGCAAGTCTAGGCTGGGCCGATCTTCTGCTGTTACTCGTGGATGATGACTCGGCACTCATTCCTGTTGCATTTTGCGCTCCCAGGGCGAAGCCAGGAAGCCCGGAGGGCAGAAAACGGAACGACAACCTTCCCAGTTCGTGGTCAGGGTGAGTGTGGGCCTGGGCACACCCCGCGGTTTGTTTAAACAGAAACTCCCGCAATCTCGTGAACTGTCCCGTGTCACAACTCGGACCGTCGGTCTCCCTCTAATGAGGTCCCACGACCAGAGAGGCGATTCCAGCGCCGACGGTGCTCACGCTCGAGTTCGTGCCGTGCCGTCTGCACAGTTTTAGTGCAAAGAGCAATGTTCGTCTGCGAAAGCTAAGAGAGGCCGTCAACGAGTTGTGTGCGTTCAGTGTATACAACGTACAATCAAACCAAGAAGTGCATAAACACGTTAGATTTTTTTTTTACGCGAAAGCGGTACCAAGACACAAAGTACAAACAACGCATAACACAATCCAGTGTTATTTCTAGCGCAAAAAATAAAATATGCTTCGCCGAAATCTTATTGTCCTCCCAAATGTAGCGCTAACGGTCCGAACGACATACCACCGTTTCAAAACTAACTGTTATTGCAGGCAAAAGTTTTAGCTTCTCTTTTTTAAGTTTCAACGGAAACGTGAGGCCCGTTCTAGCCCGTTTTCCGGTGACTGGCGTCATTCAGCTGTATATAATATAAGAGATCCGTAGGCCGCCATTTTACCATTGAATATTTCAGAAAATAACTCATAACTTTTGAATAAGGTAACGATTAGTTCTGAATATTTGGCACGTCGTTCGGACCGCTCGGACTACATTTGGAAGAACAATCAGCCTTAAATGATGCCTACTTTATTTTTGTAATAAAAAAAAACTATTTCTTTTTATACATTTTGTAGATGAACAGCGTCACCCCCTCACCTCGCAGACAACACATGCCACCGCGTGATCTGGTGACAATTATATGCAGCCAACGTTCGTCATAACCAGGCACTGATTGGCGAAGCACAGGTCACGTGCTTAGTTCCAGGCATTGTGAAGGTTCGGGAAATCTCCCCATTGCAGACATGGGGCTCGATTCGCTACCTTAATTCTCGACGAGACAATAGCGAGTTTTAGTAGACCGTGTTTCCCCCTCGGCTAATCCCCTCCGCTACGCGGAACTCTACAGCCAACGCTATCGGCGCGCAGGCGCAGTAGCGGTTTCTTCGTAGCGGAGGGCTAGCGGAGGGGGAAACACGGTCTACTAAAACTCCCTAATAGAGAGTTTGAGAGAAAAATGTTTGCACATTCGATACAGTCCGATGGGCCCTTCGGTACGAACTGCGCATGCGCTACCGCAAAAGACTCGCGCATGCGCAGTCCGTACCGGAGGGCCCATCGTAGCGTATCGGATGGGCAAAAACAGTTCCCTAAAAGTCCCATTAGGGAGTTTTAATGGATCGTACGCCGCGGAGAGCTGGAGAGGTGAACTTCGCTTCGCTAACTCCCGTTAGCGAAGCGAAGTTCTGGTGTGGGGTCGACTTAAAGTACCTAGTAGGGAATTTTATTAGACCATACGCTGAAACTTCCCTTCGCTACAAAGAGCTAGTACCGTCACCTCGAAACAGATTGGTGCCCGTTATTTTAAAGATGTAATGGATTGAAATTGCAAATTACCGAGCCTCAAGTGTAAAGGATTACCGTTCAAAATTACATTTTCTTTTTTAAAGAACACGATTACTTTACTCGCTACAAGGATTACTTTACTCGTTACGTTCCAAATTACCGTTACCTTTTTCCATATACAGATAAAGAAAACAGTAGAAACAATTTTGGTGCTTTCAGAAAATGTTCTGCAACACTACTTTCTATTTCTTATACGTCCGAATTATGGTAGGCGTTGTAAAAATAAACATTGTATTTAGGGAAAAAATGGATGTGCACTCCGTTGACCTGCGAGCTGAGAAGGCAGGTAAAGCTGCAACCACACCCGCCATACCGCTAGCTCATGGCGCCCGGAAATGATCCCTGGAATTCTGCTGACAGACCTAGCGGTGCGCATGCTCAGTAGCAGCGTCTATCTCCGCTAAGAGATTCATATATGAGCAACTTATCAACGAAAGCGCCCCTTCGAAACGGGCCCTTTAGGCGTGAACGCAACGTTTCAAAGCTGCGGTCTTGTGCCTGTAGCTTCGCAGCACTCTCATAAGCTGAGAGTTCTGCAAAGCTACATGAACGAAGTATATAGTTGCATGCAGTTCTGAAAAATGCCTGGGCGCGAGCGCTTGTTTTTGTCGCTTTTGCCAAACGAGGGGTCGCGCCCTGATATTACTCCAGCTGCTGTATTATTTTGATATTTTTCAAACTGTAACGAGTAATTAAAGTGATCCGCTACCCACATTCTGTAGCGAAATTACAATACAAATAAATGCCGCAAAAAAGTAACGGATTACGAGTAATCCGTTACTTTTAACGAATTACAACCCAAGTCTGCCTCGAAGCATGGATTGAGCACGCGCTCGTTGGGCCAGCTTTCCGCAGCGTACGGTCTACTAAGACTCTCTACTGATTGTCACGAGCCTAAATCGAATGCTCTGCAGTGCTCCTGCACAATCCATTAGTGCACCTAGAGTATCGTCAGCGCGCCTGTCAGGTCGTCAACAGTCCGGCCCCCGTGGCTACGTCACTAGGACGTGAGAGGGAGACTGAAGAAGAAAAAAAGTCCCCTTTTATCCTCGAAATTACACCCCGACGAAAACGTTTCTTTGCCGTGGCGTTGCGTACGGGTACTCTCGCGTTGCTGTAGGCCACTAAACTTGAGTAAAGTGAGCAACATTAAAAGCGCAAAGTGTTTCAGGGCCCCTTTAGCTCGCAATAAATAAGAGAAATCGCGCATTCTCATACGCTTGAAGATGTGGCTTTGTACACTTGCCTTCTGCAAGCTGCCATCTACAAGACCATGGAACGGCTTGTAAGCTTGCGTAGTAGCTCTACCAATCTGCAGACGCCGCGCCCGCGGCCACAACCCAGTGAGATTTTCCGGCTGGTTGATGAACGTTGGCATCACGAAACAAGTTTATCAAGATGTAAAGGGAGCAAAACCTACTTTGCTTTATTGTCTTTTTTGTTGTTGTTCTTAGTAGCCGGAAAAGACTCGCAATGCGGTAAAGCCCGAGTTCTACGAATCGGAATAGGAAATGTGTTCGATGATTTGTTTTTAGAAATGTTTTCCGGTAAGTATTCTCTTATTATGCAAACGTCGCGTCGAGCGACGATTTCAAAACGTGCGAGCGATTTGACTGCTGTTTGTTTCTGGATAGATTTTTTATCTCGCTCCAGTTTATAATTGCTTCTGCCGCTGGTTGGAAGGAGGGAGAATTTCCACTGCGTTGTCCCTTCTTCTATCGCGTTTTCAATGAGGGAAAATCAATAGGAGTTATACTACGTCGTTCCGAGAACTGTAGTCCATTCTCCGACAAAAATACGGTGCATGTGCAATGGCGCTGGCGGGGAGCTGGGTATAGTTACCGAAATAATAGGAGCGATCTACTAAAACTCCCCAATAAACTCTAAACTCAAAGAAGCGTTGCATGGGGCTGGAATTAGGTGGAGCGCTATCGAGATTCGACCGTAAATAACAACGAGAGGCATTTTTCTTCGGTTTGAAGGAAGCCCGGACGTGGTTTCGAAGGAAGCGTCTCTGTGTGCGTCCAGTACCGGCGGCGGGCGAGCTGTGCACCGTGAACGAGGTCGTGACGCCGTGCAGCGTGGACGCCGCCGGCCGCTTCGTGTGCGTGAAGAGCGCGACCAAGGGCCAGTGCGTGGACTGGTCGTCACAGAACAGGTGCCTCGGCGGTTCGGGCAGTCGCTTCAGGACCCTCGCTGGCTGCGAGGCCGTGTGCCGAGGTTCGTCCCTTTCTTCTCGCTCGAGCGCGGCCCGGTCGGCCCAACGCGGCTGGACGGGACGGGCGGAACATCGGGCGACAGCCGCCTTCCTAAACAAATAGTTTCCGTCTCCTGGGTTCTGGAGCAGCCAAGTCGTCGCGAGGGCTTATCCTCTCCGCTCCGGCTTTGGCGTGATTCCGCCAAGTGCACACCAGGTTCGCACCGACCGAGCGTTCTTGCCTGGCTCATAGGAATGGGCCCTCGATGGATGGGGTCCTAAAGCGCTCCCTGCTCCTGCCTTTAGCACGCGCAAAAGAGATACCAAAGTGCTCCAAAAGCACCCCAAATCGACCGAGGGAGCCTCCCGTTACTCGGAAGCTACCCAGGTGTAGCAGCCTAATCGAGGGATATATCACTTCCACCTAAGAAACAGCCAGGTAAAGCGGCCCTTGTCGCAATAAATGGAAACCAAAGACAAACTGTTAGGACGGACAGGGAAGCCAGTGAGGGGTTGTTGCTTGTGTCGTTTCCCCTCGAGGCTGAATATTCTAAGGACGCCAACAAACTCCGAGGATGGCACCGTTGTGACATCAAAGATGCTGATTCTAGGTAGCTCGCTTCTCTCATTAGATTTATTTGGGGCGCATTTATGAAGAGCGGGCCAGAGGCTCTTGAAGAGGCTAAATGGAACAAACGAATGCATTGATCAATTCGGATGAGGATACCTGGTACCTGAGGCTTTCGGTTGTGCATCCGTCATTTAAAATCTCTACTAACTTGAGAACGTTAAGCTAAATACGCGAAATAAAAGAAGAAATAATATCCCTTAGAAAGCACATAATTAAGCGCCCATAAAGATATAAATCAAACGACTGCATCAAGCAGTAATTGGAGGTTGCGGTGGTAGGACCGGAAATGACACTCATGGTGAAGGGTTGAGGTTGAAAAGAGTTTATTATTTTTGCACACGACTACCTTGTCCACATAGAGGGCTCTCAAAATTTGTTTTACAAACATTATCATGGTTACATCAATACCGCAAGACACACAACACGAGTCCATTCTAGGCTTCTTTCGAAAGGTGAATTCGAAACGTGCCATAGGTGAGCGCGATGTATCCTAGTTCATTGATCGGGAATATCCGTTAGAAAAAGTTTCTAAGCGATGGATTGACCATGGGTGTTGTGCCATGCATAGCCTGACCATCAAGCCCATAGACATATAGCCCTTGTGCTTTTTGAGGGTTGTTTCGAAGTCTCGATGATGCCGAACTAACGAGACAATTACACAAATCGTTGTGGCCATGGTATATCGTACGTCGGAAGCGCCACAGTTTATCCTATACATTTGACGCATAACTAAAGGCGCCCGCAATTATTGGATGTACTCTCTTTGTGTCAGAAAAAATTTTTTTTTTATGGAGCTGAGCTTCTAAGCAACACCCTTAATTGTGAATGTTACTTGTGCAGTATATTGCATCAAAGTAAACACAAACTTGTAAATATTTTTGGGACACCTTGCGTAATACTTTAAAAATGCATTCGCAAGCTATCTTTAATTTTCAGGTGCTGTTGGGATTTGGCCTACGAAGTGGATCAAGCGAATGACAAAGCGCAAAAAAAAAAACACATCTTGAGTGGGAAATGAGTCTACGCAGGCAATAGTTGAGCGATATGTAACGCGCATTGCGATTTTGCAGGTTATCCTCGTCGTCCACAGCATCATTCCCTTTCTGTTAATCGCAAGATACGTAATCGCAATGATAGGCTCGACGAGTGCAATCACGGAGAGAATCGGAGTGTGCAGGGGGTGGCATTATACAATTTTTGTTTTCTCAGTTAGAGGAACATGTTTACAGGTACTCAGGTTGTGCAAACAAGAGGCCCTAAACTCGTGACGCACAAAGTTTGGGCTCAAGTTTTCAGAACGCGCCGATTGAACCATGGTGACGATGACGCCGGGCTCGTGCGCAGAAGATCGATTAGCTAGTTCCGCGAAATTTCGTTCCCCAACATTGTGTTTCACGAGTTTAGAGCCCCTGATTATGTTCTTTCCTCCTGCGGAAAAAAAGCAAGGCTGAATTTTGTTCTCTCTTCAGGAGAAAGCTGTGATAAAGATAAAGCACAGCTGAGAAAGTTTCCGCGCTCTTGCATTTTCGCGGCTCACCGGCGGGGTCACTCGCCTCAATCAGCTGCAGGCGCGCGTGGACTTTAAAAGAGCGAACTTTCGTTGTCTCGGTGACCGCACGCATGACGGTAATCTTTCGGTCCTAACGAAGTTCGAAGCTCGTCGTCACGAACTTTTAGCGCACTGTTTTCGCGTACCTGCTCGCCACGCCCGCTCATAGTTCTAGGGTACTTAATCGGAATAAGCGTCCACTCCGCTGGGAAAGTCACAGAGCAAACTTTTTTGTGAGGCTTCAGTTTGATCGCGTAGCTACCGGAATGGCTTCTTTAGCTCGAGCCATGTTCGTTCTCATTTCTACCTCCGTGAGCTCAGCCTACCCACCACGCGAATAAAGCTAATTTACGCCGCGTCTATTTAAGTTCTATGTAAAGGAGAAGAGCCTACAATATCGATGACAACCACCACCATGTGGCGACGAGTTACTGCGTTCAACACAAACAGTACGCCGTCTCGCACCAAACTCATAGCACTTCCAACACCACAGCCGCCTTCTACACAATAGGATAAGCCAGGGGCACGGTGGTAGAAATACATTTAGGTGATGACTCTCTGTATCACGCGGCGACAACATTATGTTCGGCGCACCAAGCGCGCCTCATGCGCACGGGGATAGATGGCGCCCAAGTATAGAGGGGCTTGTGAAGGCAAGTACAGAGGGCTTGTGAGGAAAATTATGCATTCTTTACTCGGTCCCTGTGTATTGTGTGCTGAAATGATGGATTTATGTTGGCGCATTGGCACTGATTGCCTTTTCCCCCGTGCGGTCCCTGTATTTTTAAAGAAGAACATTCTGATGATGACTTAACGTGACACAAATAGTCGTATAAATATAAAACTTCTCGGCATAATCTGCTGGGCCTTCAATAATTTAGAGTAATTTAGAGTAAACAACTGGGTCATGCTCGCATGTTTTGTCAAACAGCATGTTTGGTAACAGTTCCTTAAATTGTTTACACACATTGCGTGGCTTTATAGGAGGTCGGGTGATTTTTGCACCCTGCTCCTGCCTTATTGAAAAAAATAAATTCTAATAATGTTACATAGTGGAGCCAAAATAATTCTTTACACTCGCAGAAAGGTTATAGCATTACAAGTGGTTTATACATATAATGTCAACTTGAACTGTGGAACATACAAAGCTTGTGAGCAGAAAAAAAATTATTTATGATGACATAGTGACTGAAATTATGACACACTAGGATGAAAACTGACTGACATAATGACAGTGACTGAAAGTCACTGTGTCATTATATCACAGCCGCTAACAGCTAGTATTGTTTGACTGAAAGTCAAACAATAGTAGCGGTTATAAGACATCTATTCTCTCACAATATGGTGTCACCCCGTCTTACAGGTAAAAAAAATGAAAGCCGTTTACAACTCCCTGTAACACCGAATTGGAGCGCAGCTCTTGAGGAGGAGGAGGGAAGGGTACTGAGGGTTACCTGTTCTCGATGCGGGGGGGGGGGGGGGGGGGTCATGTGACCTTGGGGGGTCACGCGACCCCCCAGAAAAATTTTTCCGCTAGATTTAGCGGGGAATTTTTTCCGCTAGATTTAGCGGGGAAATTTTTCCGCTAGGTTTAACGGGAAAATTTTTCGGCTAGACTTAGCGGGGAATTTTTTCTGCTAAATCTAGCGGGGAAATTTTTCCGCTATATTTTTTCCGCTAGATGTAGCGGGGAAATATTTCCGCTAGATTTAGCGGGTTAATTTTTCCCCTAGATTTAGCGGGGCATTTTTCCCGCTAGATTTAGCGGAAAAAGTTTTCCGCTAGATGTAGCGAAGGAATTTTTCCGCTAGATTTAGCGGGGAATTTTTTCCGCGATTTAGCGGGGAATTTTTTCCGCTAGATTTAGCGGGGAACTTTTTCCGCTAGATTTAGCGGGGAATTTTTTCCGCTAAATCTAGCGGGGGAAATTTTTACGCTAGATTTAGCCGAGAAATTTTTCCGCTAAATCCAGCGGGGAAATTTTTCCGCTAGACTTAGCGGGGAAATTTTTCCGCCAGATTTAGCGGGGAAAATTTTCCCGCTAGATTTAGCGGGGAATGTTTTCCGCTAAATCTTTGCGGGGGAAATTTTTCCGCTACAGCGGGGAATTTTTTCCGCTAGATTTAGCGGGTTAATTTTTCCGCAAGATTTAGCGGAGAAATTTTTCCGCTAAATTTAGCGGAGACATTTTTCCGCTAGATTTAGCGGAGAAAGTTTTCCGCTAGATTTAGCGGGAAAATTTTTTGCTAGATTTAGCGGGGAATTTTTTCCGCTAAATCTAGCGGGGAAGATTTTTCCGCTAGATTTAGCGGGGAAATTTTTCAGCTAAATCTAGCGGGGAATTTTTTCCGCTGGATTTAGCGGGGAAATTTTTCCGCTAGATTTAGCGGGGAATTTTTCCCGCTAGATTTAGCGGGGAAATTTTTCCGCTAGATTTAGCGGGGAATATTTTCCGCTAGATTTAGCGGGGAAATTTTTCCGCTAGATTTAGCGGGGAATTTTTCCCGCTAGGATTTTTCCGCTAGATTTTTCCGCTAGATTTAGCGGAGAATTTTTTCCGCTAAATCTAGCGGGGAAAATTTTTACGCTAGATTTAGCGGAGAAACTTTTCCGCTAAATCTAGCGGGGAAATTTTTCCGCTAAATTTAGCGGGGAAATTTACCCATAATGCATTGCGCGGTTACGCCGACGGCGACGCCGACGCCGCTCAAGCCGGAAACGCGCCCCTAAGAGCTGCGCTCTAAAAATACCTGACAAATATTTTTGCTCTAAAATGTACACAAAAGTTGAATTCACTGCATATATACCAAAGAACGCCATTCCCTACATCCTGTGTTTCTCACCCATGCTCTTGAACTAAGACGAGCGCTGCTTTGTTTATTTCTTCTTTTCTTGAGCTTGTTTGTTCATTCTCATGGTAATATGTTTACTGTGTTGTCGCATTCGCATGCTGAAGTAGCAGTGGAGCAACTGGGCAATTGTTTCTTCTTTGTGTTCAGGGAATGGAAACGTTATTGTGCATGTGTCAATAACACTGTCGATTGTGTCCCAGTAGACAGTCTGGTGGCTTTCATTTTCCACGAATAACTGTCCCGCTTTCTTCAGTAGCTGCAAAAGGTTCTTGTTGGGGTGTATAAGGTCTCCTCTGTTCTTCACGTTTTCAATGCTGCTTCAGCAGAAATGTCACTGCCGATGCTGAAAGCGGATCGGCATGCAGGGCAGCGTGTAGCTTTTTTCATTTTCACACTCAAAAACCCAGTTACATAATATAGTATGCAGGCCACAGCCTTGGTTTCTTCAGCCTTTTCTGTACAGACATCTTCGCATTCCCAGATTTCGACAGAAATTAGACTGTCAAGCTTGGTCTTCACTTGGTCAACGAGATGAGGAGACTAGGTAGTAACTGTCGACCGGTCCTCGGGACTGTACGACGCCACTGCTCCAGGCGAGCGTCATTCAATGGAGCTTTAAACAAGGACACTCGCTCTGCGCAGTTCCGGTACCCCGAATCGCAGTTGGGAACGAAGCACTTCTTTCGCATCCTTATAGCATAACTTCTTCTTCGGGTTAATGCTCACCTTCGTGCACGATGGTGGCACCGGTGGTTGACACAGCACCAAAGCAAAGCATGAGGCCAGCCACTGACCGCACACCACCACCACACCGCGAAAAAGGCGAGCAAGCTACGCCCCCGACTCCGTGGCCGCCGAGGAGAGACCTCATATCCACGGCGCTCACACCTCAGCGCCCTCCGCGGCGGCGCGGAACTAACTATACTTCGTTTCACCTCGTGTTGTACCGCAGCGAAGGCTAGAAGCGCGAGCTCATAGCGTTGGTAGCCGCTCTTAAGTCACGAGAGCTTGTGCCGCTGAAATGTGCCCCAGAGCAAGGAGCTCGCGCTTGTAGCCTTTCCTGCGGTACATCATAAGGTGAAACAGAGTATGCTCCTGGTTCAAGGCTAGCTCCGAACACGATCTGGTCGCTCGCTCCCCGCTGGAAGAGCGGCCAGAGTCATCACCTAAATGTATTTCTTCCACCGTGGCCAGGGGTAATAAGCGGCCTTTCCATTCCCGCAAGGATGGCAGCTGTTGCTGCGGAAAGGGCCGAGGAACGAAGCTTGGCTGGTTGGCTCTACGTGTCCACAACCAGCAGCGCGAAACACGAGCGAACGAGTCGAAGCAGCGCGCGACGATCTTCTAGGATCCTTCAGAGCAGAAATAGCGCGCTCGGGAAAAAAGAGTCCCCAGACAGTCGCTTCAGGGTGTGGGGCTTGGGTTCTGGACACGAGGGGGACGGAAGCTTCGAGTATTTCAGTTTGAGAAGCGCGCAAAGGACATAGGAGCACCGCTGGCCACCGTGGTTTCAGTAAAGTTCGCGATTTGCACGTTTCTTCCGTCTATTCTCTTCTCGGGCACACTCCTCGACAGCATTTGCTTCGGTATTAGAACCGCAAGCACGATGAGGAACAGAATGTTTCTTTATTTCTGAAAAAGGCAGCTGGCGGCGCTGCGTACGGTGTGCCTGGTCGCGCATGCGCAGGTGGGCCTCTCAGGGCGGACCGGAAATTAAAAGCGGATCTGTCCCTGTCGCTAAGCGTAGCGACTGCTACGGCTTGTGCCCCGGAAGCGAATAACCGTGCCGGCATTCTTCCGAGTGGCGTGCCTTGAATCTCCTTGTCTGCCTCGCATCCGGTCGAGCGATGCGGTGTCCCTTGACGCGATTTCGTCGGGCTTTTCTCCCGGATAGCCGAAGGCCCCGGAGGCTGCCGTTCGCCCCAGGCCTGCCTCTGCTCGGGAGCCTTCCGTGCGACTAACTACGTGTTCGACGGCGAGCTGCAGCAGTGCCGGCTGCTGCCCGAACACCGCTGCCTGGACCGCGAGCAGGGGTTCACGGATCGCAGGCGGTGCGAGGAGACATGCCGCGTGGGTGAGCGACCCTCGCCTCACTCGACCTGCGGGCCCTTGGAGCCGCGCAAGCATTTGGATGCCTCCTGTTCCTCGCCTCTTTGTGTGTCTGTCTGTGTGTGTGTGGGGGGGGGGGGGGGTGGTCGGATACGCAGGCGGTACGGGGCGTCCGTGACCACCAACGAGACGACGGCTCTAGTCGTGTTAGGTGACGTCTCGACCCTGCAAGGTGGAGGAAGGTCACCGCCGCTTCTAGGGGACAGACCTCCGAATCTGCGAGAATCTTTAGCGTGCGTTCCAACCCTCAGTGGCATCTGTCTAGCCAATCTCCAAGTGGAGGGTAGCTGTCAAGGACCCCCATTCAAGTTCCATCCCGCCAAACTTCGATTGCGCTTCCAGCGCACCTGCCCCGTGTTTCTAGGCACCAATTCATATAAAATGTTTCCATGTTTTTCTTGCGTTTCTCTTGTGAGTAATAAATTGAAACCTTAAAAATATAGGGTAATTATGCTCAGTTTCTGGAATGATATAATGCTCCTTAAAATATAGCGCTTACGAATACCTGTAAGGTCAGAAAACAAAATAAAACGTTAATTCATAACAAAAATGTCACGCAAAAGTAACTTGCATTAACTTTTAACGGTAGCGGCAACGCGTTCCTTTTATTTCGAACTAACGTAGGTCGATATCGCGTTACTTTTATTTGCAACTGACGAATAACGTATTTCGTTACTTGTTTTCGGTGACGCCTAAAACACTGGCCAAGCAGTGATCCCATCGGACACCACCCTCCTTTCGTTCGAGTATGTGGCGTTTCCTTTCCACTAATGCTACGTCTATATGCGCCTGTACCCACCCTTAACTGAAGATTCCTATGCCCCTTTCGGCAGACACTTTAAGAATGTCTTGTGCAGGAATTCCCTCCGCGGAAACGTTACTAAATGAACTTTAGTGACCCTCGCATAACGGCTTTCAAACTCATTAATTACGTCCTCATTATTGTGAGCGTGCCTACTCTCGAGTCTTCTACCCTGCCATTTCGGGCATACCCCGAGAGAGGGCGCGTCCCCCTTCGCGAGTCCATCACCGCGATTTGGTACTTCTCTGGTCCTCGTTCGGCAATGTTATCGTGTCCTATCGGCACGCGCGCTCCTGGCCTGTATCTGGAAACAGCGTAGTTCGGCAACCCATGCATACTTTATTACTTCGACGCCTCGCCTTGACACGCTAAACCTCACACTATCACTTTTTTTTACCTTTAGGTGGTTTTCCGCGACTGTATGGGTTGGCTCTCGTAATAGTAAATTCAGGTGTGTTCCAAAAAGAAAAGGCTTTCTGCTATAAGTATAATTGTTTTTTTCGAATATCGCCCAGGGTTCTTTTCTTGTTTCTGAGTCGGTTGTGGAGAACGTTCCTCGGTACACGTTGCAGGGTCGGGCGCAGGCGGCCAGGATGGTCGCTGCCAGGCGCGCCCGGTCGAAGGGCTGCTGCGCCAGTGCCGATGGTCGGATCAGCGATTCACCTTCTACTACGACGCGTCGACCAAGCGCTGCCGGCGCTGGGATGACGGCGCTTGCGTGAGCGGGGCGCACGCCCTGCTCCAGGACTGTCTGGCACATTGCTGAGGCCCTGCGCGGACCTGGCTCGTATGAGCGACTGCGAGGAGGGCTCAGACTGCGATTGGAAGGTTGGCCTAGCACCTTGTCGGTTTGTGAAATAAATGTAGAGGTTAACTAAGCTGCTTCAGTGGCGGTAGTACAGAAAAAAAAGTTTCAGTTTAGAGGGCTTGCTTCACTGAACAAACGCCACCACTCACTTCGAAGGCTCTCGAAGCTATCGCATGCCACAGAAGAGCCTAGGCAGCCAGCGGAAGCATCGATTGTCATCACACGCCCGGTACCCTTTCAAATTCTAATGCAGGTTCATCTTAATTAAACGTGTTTCGTTATCACTTTATTCAGGCATCCAACCGAAAGGTTTGAGGATATAAAGTATCAGCATCATAGATGCCTTTCTTTGTCGTCCTGTCATGCGAAGATGAAACGCATATTTCGCCTGATACGGCTGTGGGCGCTACATAGCCGTTACCAAACCAAGTGAGTGTGTAGCATAGTCGACAACTGCAGAGGCATATTAACCAAGTGTGCGTTACATAGGTGACACCTAACCACTTCCGGTTTCCTACTCCTGAAGCCGAAGCGGGAAACGGGACTGCCAGCCGTATGCTGACGCGTTCGTCTTCTCATTGATTGATTAGAAACGATTGCCGGTTGAACACCTTACTCGAGCAGATCCAAGTTAGTCACGCGGGTCACGTGATTCAGACTTGCACGGTGCTCAATAAAGTAATCAAGGTACTTGAAAACATTACAACATTTTACAAACGTCTGCTAACGATAACTTTAAAACCAGGCGTTTTCAAACATAACTCACGTTATATAATATCCTAATTTGGCAGTACCCAGCGGCTACGCGTGATTTTGGATGGTTTTCAAAGCTTTGTACCGCATTCGATTCCACCATAACATCTCTATATCTCGAACCCAACCCGAAAGGTAAATTATGTTCTGCCAAAACACGTCGCGTTCCACCCGCCTACGCCGCAGCGTTTCGCCTTTTCTTTCTCTACTCGCGCATCTTTCCGCTCTTCGCTGAACGTCAACATTACCCCTCCCGTCAACACTCAACGATACCGGGAAAGTAATCGGCATCTGCTTGCGTCGTAACTCCAGCACCGCCGCAGATTCTTCCTAAAAATGCCGCCGCGTCAAGCGCGCCAAGGCCGCCACCAGCCGTACACCATCCCATGAGCGCGGAGGGAGCGGCTGGCTTCCGCGGCACGCGACCGGCGTCGCGCCCACACTGATCCACTACGAGAGGCCGCCCGTACCGCGCGTACATTGAGGTGTTTGGATTCTTAGTAACGAACGCGCGAGGTGGACGCGCGTACATGGAGGCGTACAGCTATTGCTTTCACATGTTCGCACGTTGCGGGCTTAAAAAGGCACCTTTTTTTAAGGCCGCCAAGTAAGAACGCCGAATGTGGGGCGGTTCAAAGATGTGCGCTTGTTTCGCCGCTGCGTGGATAAAAAACAATGCTATTCAAGAAATATTTTTATAAAGCAACTTGTCACCGGGAATTTGGATCGGCTCACCAAGAATGGAGAGGACAAGAATAAACCGCTCATTTCATGAACCAAAATTGCTACCGACTTGGCTCTACTTTCTCAGGATCCAGTAACCTTAGGTCCTGTTAGTGTCAATCAGCTCGTGTAAAGTAAGAAAATTCTAACTGCATATCGTTGCATCGCCTTTCTTGTGTGAATGGAGTGTAGCATGCCGGCCCTGATTATCAGTAAAAGGAAGCATGTTTTGTCGCAAAATATTCCATTGCGGCGAAAGTGCCGAAGTCATCGAAGCAACGCAAATAGCAAAGTCATGGCGAGACGGAATCGAAGCCTTCGGAGGCATTTTTGGACAAAAGAATTTTTGCTCAGAAACGTTATCGAGACTAGTTATGAACTCGTCGCCAGTTTTTAGTTTAAGTGATTGAATGCGCGTCCGAAAAACAATCATGTGCACATTTATTATACATCTTTCCCGGTTTAAAATATCCGCTTGGTTTTCAATGTACAGCTTTCTCGGAAAGAGTGATGCGTGTTGTGAGAAGAAGCAACGAGTGTAATTAAGGCAAACGAGCGTATATCCACTATTTTGGTGGGTACACAAACAAGCCCAAGGATGAGGTTGATTATGATAATAATTTGCGGCCGTGACTTTAAACCCACTATCGTGCGGCAAAAAGCTGCTAACTCTTATTTTTTTATTATTATGTCTCGGATTTTTCTTTTGGCGAATGAAACGGTCGGAGGAGAGTCTTGCGCGCCAATAATCTCGAAGGCTAGAGCCCCAGGGCAATCAAGCTTTATATGACAGATTGCGCTATCTAGCTCGAAACAGTTTCAATACTGGAAGGTCCTTGCGCCAGTTCTCTATCCCCGTGGTACTGCTGACTTTCAAGCGTTTTCGGTCGATTAATCTGAAGATTGCTATCCGCTTTCGCGTACAGTTCTGGACGACTCCACAGAAGATGAAGCGTAATGAGCAGTAGGCACTGTCGCGTACCGGACTACTGCAACCCCGAAAGCATAGCCGGCGTGAAGCTCCGCAGGTTCTTGCCGGGGCCGGGGGAAATACGACGCCGTCAGAAATCAATAAATGCCATAAGACGTACAAAATAACCATTCCGTTCACATTACAATCCTCAATGGGAATTTCTGAGCGCGTTAATTGACTCGGTTATTTGAAAAGCATACGCTCGAAGCGCGACATTCTATTTGAGTTCGATTCGATGACTCGCAGACACATCTTGTTCGGACGACGTTTTGAGGACAGTCGTGCTAATCAAGAGTTTTAGTAGACCGTTTTCGGGCACCCGTTCCGCTGCGGGGCCCGCTCTGAGTTTGAGCGTGGCAACCGGAGTGAAGGTTGCTTACGCTTCGCCCGTCGCAGAGCAGATGGTCATTTGCGTCTCACGTAGCTGCCCAAGATGGCTGCTCTACTTTGACCTGTGTATACAGTTCTACCTTCAACCTCACTGCGGGAAAACAGCCTACTCAAGAAATAGAGTGCACTATCACACGACCCAAGGTTATGTATGCGAGTTTCTTTAAGTTTTTCTTTGTAAAACAAAACACCATATTTATTTGACAAGAAAAAGCATCATCTTGCGACGAGCAACTGCGTCCGACTCTGTCCTGCCCAAACTACAGCCGGCTTGCACAGAACAAAGATTCCTCGAACACCACAAACGTCTTCAACAAAACGACGAGGGGACGGGAAACAAGCTCATCTCTAAAATGAGATCAGCTATTCATGCAGAGAGAATCCACTTGGAGAAAAGGTATCTGTGGGTGTGTGTGTGTGTGTGTGTGTGGGGGGGGGGGGGAGGGGGGGGGTCTTTTGCTTTTGTAATGAACGGAGGCTCGACGTCATATTCTTTTGTGCATATGAAGGGTGTACAACATAAAAAACGCATGGCCCGCCTGGTTTCCCTGCAATTAAGTCATTTTATTCGATAGTTCAATTTTGTTCTATTCCCGTGTTCAGGTGTCTCAACTCACCAAGGAAGGCATCTATATACTAAAACTCCCTAATGATAGAAGCACACGAAACGCGCACACATACAGATAAATAAATGTAGCGTTTGATACATTTTGAAAACAGTTGTCAGAATGACACGACAACACAACGCTCGAAGTTGATATTGCCGCGCGCGCAGCGGAGCAAGCCGGCAGCACGGCCGTGGCCTAACGGTTATCGTGCTTGCTTCCCACGCAAAGAGCCAGGGTTCGACTCCTGGGGGTGATGAGTATTTTATTTATTCTTGCAATTTAATGTTCTGGTACGTTCGAAAACTCTGTTGCTTCTTCGAGGTACGAATGTTCTACTCGCCGAACTTCCTAGGTCGATTATTCCAGAAGCCAACGCGTGTACATAAGGGGTGGCTATCCGAAGTCAGTTTCACCTCAGCGTTCAATTCTGCGGCTTCGACGCCCGCGACGCTCTGTTATTATCGCTTTTTATTCTTATTTTGGGCACAAGTTTGCCCCAAGAAACGTTTCAGTTTGCCCAGTTATTCTTTGTTCCATTACCTCTTCATTCATGACATGTAAAAAACGGCCTCTCACGAGCGAAAGCTGGCGGCGCTGTCTATTTTAGCCTTCCCAGTATTGCCTCATTTTGCCAAGGTGGCGCTGGTGATCAATCGATGGTGGCGCGCTCTGGAACCCTGCCCAGCGCCTATAGAACTGATAGGGCCGTTCAAGAAGTATCCTGGAAAGCCATTCAATGTAGGCGTCTTGAGATTCTAGTTGAAGCGTGCTTAGTCCCAAGCTCAAATGCTCTTCCCTGGGACTTAATTCGGAGAATGATTATTAAAACCCACTAAAAGACACCGGTAAAGTACGGACCAAAGCATCGAGTGAATGCACTAGGAAGCCCAGCAGACGCCCGACTTCCTGGACAAACATCAAACTTCCGGTGGCTTCACTTGTGCCCTGCTCGGAGACCGGCTATGCTCCATCCAGCCCCCTATAACAGAGATGATTTTGTGGGCCCGAAGTGTCGGAGTTTCCGCGGCGCCGGAAATAGCGGCGCTGCGATCGTATCTAGCTCGACGCCACATCACTCTCTGCATTGCCTCTGCTACAATAGTGGAAAAAAGGGGTGATCCCCCCCCCCCCCCCCCCCCCCCCAAGGTTAGGTAGTGTTATAAAATGTGCAACTGGTAGCATCTAACCAGCTATTTCACCCCATGCGAGTCGCACTTCTCGGTCTACTCAGAGTAATATAGTGATACGAAAAAAGTATCCATCGGAGCCCTGTCGCGGCCCAGCTCTTGGGATTCACAGCACGCCCTATCTGGCGCAGTGGTGTCTAATTATTTATAAATTCGTCATATGTGTACCCTTTGTAGGACCACAAAGAACCCTTTTCGAAAATCGCGGGTTCAGTAAGAAATTGGTGGAACACGCTTTCATGCGAACAGAGGCGCTCCCTCAGGCAAAGAAGCTAAGTCGTGCTGCCTTTATTGAGCTGCAGTGACCCAGATTGGACTTCCCCA